TGCATCTCCCACTTGAAATTTATTATGACTCTCTACATTTTTCTTATGGATATTTGCTCATATTGTAACAGCAGCAAAGCTTTCTGGAAACGTTTTCGATTTTATAAAATTATTTTACTGAATACATTGCTGGACATTTATTTTTAGTTTTATATCTTGTCTTGTTATAGCTTGAATTCAGTCAGTTAGGCGATCATATATCTTTCGATACATGACTGACGAGGTAGATTTTTTTCCCGCAGTAGGTTACCATTTCTTTCTCTGGTAATCCAAGGCTATAGAACCCTGTCTGTTCTGCTATTTACCCATAGGGGAGAAAAAGTGAATATACGAATTCGACTGTTATTCGAACTTGGCTCTCCGATTCCTCAATCCGAGCCGCTATCCATTAACTCCACCGTGCCTCTCTATTAGTTCGAATTACTTGTTTTTAATCATTTTCCAACCAGCCCGTTACCTTAAATATACCCGTTTATTTAGATTTTCTTATTTTTTTACCCTTCCATTTATTATGATTTCACCTTTTATTCAGAGTATATTCTTTTTTTATGTACTCTGCGCTTTCTGGAAGTGGGTGAATATGGCTCTCTACAACATCCTATCTGTTGTATCTCTAAGAAACGTTTGTCCCCTTATCATCCCTCCGGGCCCCTGTTCTACCATCCATTGACGCAAAGTCGTTACGTATTTTACTTGTTGTTACCCACTGCCTCTCTTCCTTCAGTATTTTCTCTGTGTGTTAAATTCTCTAAGCCCCCTTTCCTCTTTATGTAAACCCAGAATTCCAACTGTCGCTTTCTCGTTCTAAGTACAAGTGTTCTTTTTTGTAGTCTTCAAAGGCTATATTGTTTTGTTATGGGATTTTTCCCAAAATTAAGGGGATTTGACTTTAACGCACCTATAAAGTATTTAATGAAAGTATCCATTCTCTTTAAAATGAACGCGTTCATTGCTACATTGTTATAGTATTGTTGCCTGGCTGTGCTGACACGTTTTGAGAAAAATAGAAAATTATCATTTAGTTTTTTAATTATTTCACTCCCAAGCAAGGCAATAAGGCCACTGGGACGCAAAGAGGGTCACTGAGTGTTAGAGAATATGAGAAAAACTACTATTAAGGAGAGGGGACAATAAAATAACAAGTATTAAGAAAACGGAAGATAACGATTGACATTGCATTAAAATTTTGGAAGATCAAAGTGGACTGGGAACAAGAAGCCGGGAAAGAGTTCTACAATCGAGAAGTGTGATAGAAGAAACTATTAGCATAGTGTAATACCGTATCCTCACCCCACTGACCCACGCACTCGACAAGACTGGCCGTTGGTCCGGTATGGTCCAGTATTACAGGTTAGACACAAGTTTCTGGTTCCCAATGTCTATTCGAAGCCACCCTCCAGCCACGTTGTGATTGTTTTGATCCTGAAGAGTGGTCATCAGATCGTAGAATTATGATAGCTTTCCATTGGTCCACTTGCGAGTCCGTAAGGTGAGAATCGGGTTAACAGAAAAAAATAAATATAACCAAGTCGATTCGATTTTCAAAGGACAAAAGTTTATATATATAAAAGCAAGCACACACACAAAAAATAATTCTTGTTGCACAAGGTTGAATGGTTCTTGTATGTGAACAATAACCAAACAAACAGAAATACTTCGATTAATTTCGATAAGGAGAGATGTGGCCTTCGTTTTAACCCTTTTCGGTCTGTTCTTAGCGCAACTACTACAACCTTCGATATTCCCGTTCTCAGTAATAGTAATAGTAGTAGCAGGAGTAGCAGTACTTAGATGTTAGCGGCGGTATTTCGCTTCTTCGCCCGCAGCTTCAGCAACACACAGCGGACACTTCCTTTTCAATCTCTGACGTCTCTCCACTCAGTTCGACTGCATTCGAAGACAGACGAAACCAAAACGCCCTCCACTCAGTTCGCTTGCCTCTTTATTAAGAGAACCGGCTCACGTCCCAGACTGGTGACATATCTGTTTTTCTAGTGCGAAGTTCATGACATACTCCCAAAGTACAACTTCAATCCTCCGAGAATAAACAATTTAATTTTTCATCGATTGGTTTCCAGGGTTCACAACAAGATGCTATCGTTTATCCGCACTTTGTAAACTACAGAGAGTCTTGTTTCAAAAATAAATTCTAGATCAAAACATCCTTTATTATAACTTCAATTCTTATAGTGTCAAAATCCATTTCTTTTTTTAAAGTTCCAAATTATCATTGTTCCAGTAATTTTCTATTCGTAATCTGATATCCTTTGTACACTTAAAAAAAGATTGTATTTCGTGTTATAAATTAACTTTCTGCAACATTTACATTTCAGTCTTTACAGCATATTAACATCTTGAATATTCGAAAACGCCTCTTTTTCACCCGGCGTCCTCTGTCTTACAGCATATCCTCCTTTATTATCATTATTATTATTTCAGGGGTTATATCGCACCTGCCACATCAGAACTTACGGTTACATTTAGCCATTTTAACTGTAAAACGATGTAATCTTGCCGCTAATCTAATTACTGTGCATAAATTCATAAAGTCTAGGTGCCATGGCGGAAAAGTCATCAGAATAATTACCATGAAAGGGAAAAGGACTGAAGTCTAGATGCCATGTCAGAAACAATAACATTGCAGATTCTTCTTCAGATTTTATGTAGAATTTCTAAATATATAGCAGTAGCACCAGACCGGATATGGCAGCAATATTCAAAGCAAGGACAAATAAAATACGTAAGATAGATTCTTGAGAGAAAAATTATCCAGGACAACATAGTTAATTAACTTTCTAAATTACAGACTTAGCAATTGATTGGGTATATTCTTTCCACTTCATGTCAGTTGGAATGTTATTTAGTGGAAATAAATGACTATAAAGATGCTGACGGTGATTTCACATGGATTCCATTTGATCCGTTTACCCAGCAGTACAAAATCAGCTGAACGACATCACCAGCACACAATACAATAAAAATACGGCACAAAGCAGGTTGCATTATACGCTACTGTAAGTCTACGCTGGTTTGGACATAGCACTAAGCACCGGTTGGTTTATAACACAAACTCGAAGGACCGGACATTTCACGGTGTTTTGAATAGGTCGACAACAGGCACTGTAAATTTCGTAAAGCCGTAGAAATACGCAGATCTGGTCTCCCCAAGTTGAAAGGTTAGGGCATTTCTAGACGAATTTTTTATCTGATTTAATCTTTTTTTTATTAAAATCGCGAAACGGTTACTATTCTAGATCTTTTTCTATTAATGCAGATGTTCCCCACCCCTTACTCTATCCTTGGACGTACATTATTCCATTTTCATCAACGGCCTTCCTGATGCCATCAGTTCTCAAGTCGGTATCTATATTGCTGGCATAAATATTTACTCCTGGTTAATGGTAAGTTTGATCTGTCCGATAAAGGCAAAATGGCAGCTGAGCTTAAAATGACCTACAATCTGTTGTTAGCCGAGGCAAGAAATGGCTTGTTAATTTTAATGCCTCCAAAAGGAAACTGCTCTCTTTAATCGTCTAAGAGAACCGTTTTGTTTTCAATAAACGTGGCTGATGCAAACTTCCAGGAGAATGACATCTTGTGACTTCTCGGGATAGCGGTTTCCACTGATATGAAGTGGAAAGATTATATTGAATTAATTGGTAAGGTCTGCTGCTAGGAAAGTTGATTCATTGTGTCGTGCTAGACAATTTTTCTAACCAGAATCTATCCTACATATTTTTAAGTCTACCATTCGTCTATGCATTGAATATTGCTGTCACATCTGATGGTGCTTCTACTCTCTATTCAGAGATTTTTGATAAAATCCGAAGAAGAATCTGCAATGTTATTGATCCTAACCTGAAATCTCGGCTTCAGTTTCTGTCCCACCTCCGTTTCTACAAATATTTTCATGGTAATTATTCTGATGAGTTTGCTTCTTTGGTAGTTAGACTTTATGAATTTAAGCGTACTACGAAATTAGTGGCAAGGTCTCAACTTTTTACAGCTGAAATAGTTACATGTAAGCGTATGATCTATACTAACAGTTTATTCTCTTGCATTTATCATTTGTGGAACTCTCTTGCGTCTTCTTGTTTTCCAGTTAAATTTAAACTTCAAAAATTTAAATGCAACCTTCTATTTTCTTAATTCCTGATTTCTTTTTCTCCTGTCCTCTCACATTCACCAAACCTTTGCGCCTTGGGGGCTTTATTGCTTTGCTTGGGGTGAACTGATTAAAAAAAAACACGTCCAAAGCAGAGGAAGTGTTAAAAGGTGATACGTATACCAAAGACGATTCATATAAAAAAGAATATGAACAAGAAAACAGGGATAATGTTCGCAATAATTAAATAAATAAATAAAACTTATTAAGAACGTCTCACAAAAGCTATGCTTAGCATATTTATTTCAAAGACCATTGCTGTAGTGAGTTCAGTCATCACTGAGTGACCCACATTTGTAACTTTGTATCGTACTAAACTACGTTTAGTAAATATTAAAAAGAAAAGAAAAGAAAGAAAAAACACGATGGGCGAGAACCATCTTTTCAGTGCTTGCCGCTCATTTTTCGTTTTCGCATGGGTGGCCGATAGCAAATACTCCCTCCAGGGCAAATAGTTTTACATTCTCAGATGTAGGAAAATTATCATCTTACTACAAATGCTAATCACAAAATAGATGTACACTATTTCTATGCTAAGCAATTAATTTTGTTTATTCGTTTGCCTGCAAATAAATCATGTAATTACCGGCTTTATTACCTCCCACATACGAGAGCGGAATCATTTCCGCTCCTTACACTGCCATCTCATTACCTTACTCACCTTCTCTTGTTCCACAACGATTCGTTTTGCTTCGTATTGCCACCTTTTGAACTAGACGGAAGGGGTTCGCATTTTACTTGTCATCATTCATTTATATATTTATTTGTTTCTTTCTTTTCTATAATCTTTTATTTTTTTTATAACCCCCTATCTCATTTTTTTCTTTTTCAATAGTCTTTCTTTCTTTCTTTTTTTCTATAGTTTCACCATCTTTCTTTCTTTTTTATAATCTCCCTATAATATTTCTTTCTTTTTCAACAGTCTTTCTTTCTTTCTTTCTTTCTTTCTTTCTTTCTTTCTTTTCTATAGTTTCTCTAGTTTTCCGTCTTTCTTTCTTTCTTTTTATAGTCTCCCTATCCTATTTCTTATTTTCTTTTCTTCTCTTTCCAAATTTCTTTTTCCTTCGTTCCTTTCTTTCTTTCTTTCTTTCTTTCTTTCTTTCTTTCTTTCTTTTCTATTCTTCGTCTTTTATTCTTTTTTATAAACTCCCTATCCTATTTCTTTCATACTTAATAGTCTCAACAGTCTTTCTTTTCTTTCTTTCTATAGTTTCCCCGTCTTTCTTTTTTTGATAATCGCCCTATCCTATTTCTTTCTTTTTCAATTTTCTTTCTTTCTTTCTTTCTTTCTTTCTTTATTTATTTATTTATTTATTTATTTATTTATTTATTTATTTTCTATAGACTCAATGTTTTTCTTTCTTTTTTAAAATCTCCCTGTCCTATTTCTTTCGTTTTCAAGAGTCCTTCTTTCTTTCTTTCTTTCTTTCTTTCTTTCTTTCTTTCTTTCTTTCTTTCTTTCTTTCTTTCTTTTCTGTAGTCTCGCCGTCTTTCATTCTTTTATATTATCTCTCTATCCTATTTCGCTCTTTTTAAATAAGCTTTCTTTCTTTCTTTTTTTCTTTCTCACTTTCCTGTTTATGTATTTCTTCTCTCTTTATTTTATTTATTTATTTTTCAATTGTTTCTTTCTTTCTTTCTTTCTTTCTTTCTTTCTTTCTTTCTTTCTTTCTTTCTTTCTTTTCATCCTGAATTATTTTTCTTGTGCAATTCTTTCCTTTCCATTTTATTTTTATCTTTAAAATTTTGTCAATGCTTTTCGCATTTTTTCTCTATCGAAAATTTTACTATCTTGTTTTTTTTTATTTACCGTCTTCTTTTCTTGTCTTTTTTTTCTCTGGTTCATCTTATTCTCCATCTCATTCTAAATACTACATTATTCATTTAACTCTAATCTTTCTTCATCAGCCCCCTCTTTTTCTTGCTTCTCTATCTATTCTTCTCTTCATTAATTTCCACCTCAATTCCTTCTGAATTCTTTATTTTCGTTTCTTTATTCTTTTTTCCTGATTCACTGTTTCCTTCTTGTCTGCGTTTCATCCATTTTTTTTTCTTTCTGTTTTCCCTGTCTTCTTTCCCTTTTTGTTTGCCTCTACAATCACTCAATCACTCACTCACTCACTCACTCACTCACTCACTCACTCACTCACTTCTTCTTTTTTTATAATCATTTCCTTTATGTTTCAATTTTTTGAAACCTCCCTCTTCGCCGCTACTGTGTATCGTCTTTCTAATTTTTCTCTGTCTCCTCTTTGCTTTTTTTCTACACAAAACTTGTTCGCAGCAGCAAGTTGATATATTGGAATAGGTAATTTATTATGTCTGCTCAACAAGTGCCCTCTCTTTCTTGCTTACTTAACATTCTTCGTTCGGGTGAAGAAGTTGGCGTCAATACTCCTTTCGTCACTGTTTGAATCAGCGCCATCAAATGTGTGGGGATGATGAGGAAAGAGAAGACGAAGAAGCGGAAGAGGAAAGACGGTAATAACAAAAGACTTTTTATAGCATCCGAATCGTTTACAAGCCGAATAGATAATTCAGAAGGAAGAAAAATATGTTTTGGTAGAAATAGACGAGGAAGTCATTGACGCCTCGAAAGGGAGTGATAAAAAGAAAAGATTAAAAAAATAGTAAAGGAATAAGAAGTGTAGAAAAAAGAAAGAAGAGACAAAAAAAAGTAAAAGAAACAACCGGAGAGGAAAATAAAGAAAAAAGTGGAACGAGCGAATGGACAAAGAATTAAAGGAAGAAAAAGAGTAAAAGAATAAAAAGAAAACGAATGAGAATTAAGAGAAGAAAGGAACATAAAATACAAAATATATTTTTAAATAAATGTAGGAAGTTAAGCATTAAGGATTGAAAACGAACAATTCAAGAAAGAAAATTGGAAAAAAAGCAAAAGAAAATCTAAAAGGAAAAGTAAAGAAAGAAAGAAAGAAATTTGGAATGAGAAAAAAAGGAAAATACGAAAGAAAGAAAAAATAAATTTGGAATGAGAAAAAGGAAAATAATAACGAAAGAAAGAAAACAACGATGAAAGAAAAGGAAAAGTATAGAAAGAAAAATAAATTTGGAATGAGAAAAAAAGTAAATAAAAAAGAAAGAAAACGAGTATGAAAGAAAAGAAAAATATAAAAGGAAGAGTATACAAAAAAGAAATAAAAAAAAGAAATTTTCAATGAGAAAAAAGAAAGACAGAAAGAAAAGGAGAATGAAAGAAAAGGAAATATGAAAGAAATAGTGTAGAAAGAAAGAAAGAAATTTGGCATGAAAAAAGATGGAAATAAGAAAGAAAGAAAGAAAGAAAGAAAACGTGAATGAAAGAAAGGGAAAATATGTACGGAAAAGAAAGAAAGAAAGAAAGAAAGAAAGAAAGAAAGAAATTTGGAATAAGAAAAAAAAGGAAAATAGAAAGAAAGAAAAGGAGAATGAAAGAAAAGGAAAATATGAAAGGAAAAGTGCAAAAAAAAAAGGAGTAAAAACTCCGTAATTCTTCTAAAAAAATTTCTTTTTCTTCCGTTTTATTTTCTTCAGTATCATATTTTTCCCGGATTTTTTATCCTTTCTCTTAAACTTTTGCTTGATTTCTAAAGACTGAAAAATAAAAAAAAGAAATCAACCAAAGAATATATTCTCAGCAGGAGCCCAGCGTCCTTTTTAAGGTGCAATGCCAAATAAGTGCAGCTTGTCATTACTCTGCAAATAATTTTGAGAAGTAACTTTTTGTATGTACATAGCTTAGTACGGCACAAAGTATGCAGCATTCAGTCAGGTTTGAACTCACTACAAAAGATTTCGTGAAGATAGCTTACTAACTCTACTGTTCCTAGTCGAAGCATCAGAAATGTATTATTAACAATATTTTTATTTTTTAATTTTCCCATTGATATTAAGACTACCATACGTACGCGTGCGTGTGTGTGTATATATGTGCATATGTGTGTGGATGTGTGGATGTGCGCGCCTGCGTATGTGGATGTATGTGAAGATGGCTCAATGAGTATTTGTTTAGTAAATTCAATGCTTTTCTCATCATTATGTTACGGACTTATTGGAGTAAGATTCATGTACCTGTAATCAACTACAATCTTAGATTTGGTTTATTGGAATTAAAAAATTTAAACAAAACTCATGTATAAAGAAAAATTAAGAAAATTGCTCAACCTTTCTGAATTAATTGTATTCGCATACAAAAAACATAACTTCTTTCTTTTTTTTCTTTCCTTCTTTTTTTTCTTTCTTTCTTATTTTTTTTCTTTCTTATTTTTTCTTTACTTTTTTTTTTTTTTTTGTCTGGGGATTTCTCTCTAAAGATTTTATTTTGTTCCAATTTACAAATTTTGATCCAGAAAAAAGAAAACAGATTTAAAATTATAAGAAAAAAGATTCCCTTTATGGCAATTTTCTAAGCGTAGTTTAGACGTGGCACAAGGTATACGAATGTATGAGGCAGCCAGAGAAGATCGAACTCACTATTCAGTAACTGAACTAGGAAGACAAGCTTGCTAACCATTATACCACGTCGAAGTGTCCAAAAACTTAAAAAGTATTCATTCTATGACGAGATTATAAAGTGCAAAATTCTCAGTTTATATATGTCGTTCTTTTACGCTAACAAAATTCAATTCAAATATGCTTTACGAAGTGAATGCTTAGAAAATAGCTGCGTTTGGTCGAGTAAACATCGAGTCGGGACGAAACGGAACTTCTAAAGGTAAAACCAATTAATTCGAATTTGTTAATAGATCAGAGATCTGAGACTAATGTAATATAATAACGTGTATCGATTTGCGGATTAACGATGTTTTCATTGTTCATCTTTAATCCGGATTATCATAAATTTCGTAAAGATTATATGTTTTTTGTCTATTGACGCTTAAAGACTATTCGGTTGGCGCCATCCTGCTTTTCTGAGTTTAGCCACACGGAGGATGTCATTTGCTAATTCTTATAGATTTGGGAAGAGGTTTGAGGGTGGAAGTGACACAGGGGGTACGGGGAAGAAAATCAGAAAGGGAGAGGATATTAAACCGATGAGAACATTTGTGACACTGCCCACATACCTTTTTTTTAATGGTAGGATAGCTTTTTTCCCCGCATAGGCCACACACGTAAACATATACATTGCAACTCTCATGGTCAAATCGGCTTTTCCAGGTATTTAATTTATAGTAATAACTGTTTAAATCACTTTACTAAATTATGGTACCCGCTATTATCTTTTTCTTTCCTTTCTATAAATTAGTATTAATGAACTTTGTTGTGGACAAGGTCGGGGTTTAGGGGCCATGAAGGCTCGAGAGGAGACGCCGTTGTATTATTATTATTATTATTTTGTTTTACACGTTCATACGCCGATTATATATTTACATTAAATAAAACATTTACAGAATATATATATGTTTCAATGCCATGTCACTTCAGGACGTAGGCGATCATATCCCTCCAGAGAGTCCATTTTTTGCCTTCTCGGGCTAATGTTCTAGAATGACATGGAGCGGAAAAAACTATATTGCATCCATTGCTAGATCAGCTGCTAAAAAAGTGGGTTCACTGTGTCGTGCTAGACAATTTTTTTCTCTCCAGAATCTATCTTGCATGTCTGTAAGTCTGCCATTCGTCCATGTTTAGAATATTGCTGTTCTATATGGTCCGCTACCCCTGCTACTTAACTTGAGTTTGATAAAATCCAAAGACGAATCAGCAATATTATTGGTTCTGATCTGACGTGTCACCGTCAGTCACTTTCCCAAAGTAAAGTTGTCTCCATGTTTCTTTTCTATAAATACTTTCATGCTAATTGTTCGGATGAGCTCTTCGCTATGGTACCCAGACTATATGAATTTAAGCGCCGTACTAGACTGGCGACTTAGTCTCAGCAATCTCATATAACTGTAAGTACTATACTAACAGTTTATTTTCTCGCACTTCTTGCTTATGGAACTTTCTTCCAGATCCATGCTTTTCAGTCAAATTTAATCTTCAAAAATGTAAATGCAATGTCAATCGCTATCTACTGTCCTCCTGATTACTCTTCCTTTGTTTCCGCCCCTTAATAATGTTTCTGTTTTCTAATTCTTTCACGCCCTTGTGTCTCAGTGGCTTTATTGCCTTGCTTAGGATGAACTGGTTTAAGAATTGGGAAATACTATGGTCTCTCGAAAAAGATAGTGGAGTAGTTTCCCTTCAGAATTCAGAATTTTCCTTCTTTAGACTGGTTGCCACCCAAGTTTAGAGATCTTAGTCTAATCTGATATTTATTCGACAATGTATATATATATATATATATATATATATATATATATATATATATATATATAAGCCAACGTCTAGATTGACAACAAGGAAAATAGTACAGTCTTTTCTGACAAGAAGACAAAGCTAACCAGCGATAATGTAAATCGTATTTTATCTTGATTTTCATTCATTTACAGTCAAATCTATAAAAATGGCTGTGTCCCTCTATCGCCAATAACTGTACTTTGAACTCGTGGAACATTCTGAAAACATACTTAGAGTGTTTGAAGCGTCCCACGCAAGCCTTTGAGCTGCGATACAATGCACCAAGGTTTCATTAGACTCTTTGATTGAATGAAGGACGATCGTATACAGAACTGAAGAGGTATCAAATCCAAGACGTGGCGCGTTTTAGAATGATGAATTTGGTAATAATTTGAGTTCTATACATGAAATTGCAAAACTTCTTGACATTAAGCCGCCTCTTCACAAAATTGAAAAATTCTAGAATCAAATGCAAAGAGACGGTGTTGTTAAAGAGACATCGTTCAAAAAATGGGCTCGCAAATTAATTCAAGTGAATTCCATTCTCACCGAGTGTTACACTATTATGAATTGCGTCGGACTTCGCTAAGCAGAATAAAAACTGGCGAATGTGCGCATGCTCACGTATGTTGGTATTTGAATGAAGTGTTCTGCCGAAGAGATGTGTAGTGTCTTTGAAAGAACGGAAAAAA